TTTTTTCAATACTTTCTAAAATAAATCCAAGAGCATGATCTTGAAACTTTTATATTTTTATTAATGCACAGGACGACTACTAGAATAGTAATCCGAGTGTATAATAGTTTTGATCATTGTAAAACGATTGGTAATAGATAACTGTTCTTACTTTCCTGTTATTCAAACTTGTTTTATAATTAATTATTCATCACTGACGGAAATCGATTACTTCAACGATTGCAAAGAATTCGTTAATTGTCACAACAAACAATACAAAAGATTATCTAGTAATTTTTTAATAGTTACCTTTGAAGTTTTATTGAAAAAAGAACAGAAGTAATCTTTCATAAAAAAAATATCAAGCAAAAATAGCAGAATTTATCAATTCTATTCATTCATCTCGCATTGGTTCACAACAGTTCTCATATGATCGTCCTTTGAAGAGAACGAACGCGACTACATACGAGCTCTCTAGTTTGAAAAATAGTCCTAAATATACTAGGATAATAGATGGTATTATCAAAATAAATTTGACTGGTTTAAACCATATTGATGAAAATATTTTCAAAAAAAAACTTAATTGTTAATTAGAATATTTGCATAATAACGATAGTTGCACTCTAGCAACAAGAACCAACCTATTTAGGGTGGGGCTGTAGATGTCAAATGTAAGGAGAGCTTCATGCAGGAAATGATAGGTCTTGTACGAAGATACAAATACTAAAAGAACAGATTTAGAATTCAGTGCAACTTTCAACACTCTTTTCTTCTCCAGTGCAAAACCACACTCTAAGTCAACATAGTTGTTAAATCAGACAAAGTCGAAGTATGATTAGAACACACTGAGTAAAGAATAGATCGCTGATTTGCCATCACAAACAGTATATATCATTTCAATTTACACTGCATTTTCATTAACAACAAATTTTAGTTTAATTCATTTCTGACATGTCAGCATAACAAACACATGCTAATTTCTTTTCTCATTAATTCCGAGAAAAGTATCTCTATTCTCCTTGCTTTTTACTTTATCGCATTCTAAATACTCACTTCGATTTTGCAAAATCAAAGCGAAAACGATTGTTCTCTTGAAAAAAACTGATGTGAGACAACGGCGCTGATATACTTGATCTTTTCATTCTTCGAACTCTGATGATTGCGTCAATCAAAACATAAAAAAGAGAAAGAAAGTTTGTTGATCAATAAAAATGTCCTTTGTTCGTCTGAAATCATTCGGCATAGATGTCAAAATTAATGCGCGAAGAAATGTGTTCTGCCCCATGAGTATCATTAGAATGATGGATAGGGTGAGACAAGTTTTCTCTCGTGATTATCAAATAAACATGGATTTTTGGAACTTGAGCTGTGATTTGCAGTGAACTTTCAATGGGATCAATAGAGATGCTATGCGGCAAACAAACATGATGAAAAATAGGTGGTGTCACACGGCATGCCCACGTTTCACCCACATCAACTGATATGTGTAGGTTTTCTAAAGGTTATGTAATAGTTTGACGTCAAAGACTTTAATCTCTGTGTAACCAAGAATGGATTTATACCACTGTAGTGCATCAATCGACATTTTAACTATTGAAAAGGTGATACATCAACATGACATTTATATCTTTGGTGTTCGTTGTTTTTGTTGCTATTGTTGGTTCAATCGGCTCGGTGCCCATTTATGAACAGTGTGGAGGTTTGCAATGGGGACGTACATTTAAAAAATGTGATGATGGCTTGGTTTGCTATGCACGATCTATCTTCTATGCGAATGTGAGTTATCTTGTATAAAAAAACAAAAAATTCACTGAATATTCTAGTGTCGACCACCAAATAATTGTCCTTCACGTGAGTAGTTGTTGTCGTTTTTCTTTTCAAATAGATATAATGTGCTGTTACACAACCAGATTGGGCATGTACGATTGTCGAGAGCTCATCAACCATTATCCCTCTTCCAAGAGTCATTCCTGCTAATGAAAGATGCGATAATGAAAGCTACACGGTATGCGTCACTGGAACAGCCTGCTTTCGACGTACTTCTAGCTACTCTGAATGTCGTCCACAATGTCCAATCACATGGCAATGTGAAAATGATGTTGCTCATGAGTATGAACAATGTGGAGGTACTATAACTTGAACATAACATTTCTTAGATGTACGTCATTTAACTTTTTTTGCACATAGGTGAAGGTTATATTGGTCTGACTCGTTGTGCATCAGGTCTTCGTTGTTATTATCGTAACAAATGGTATGCTCAATGTTCAGTGTCATGTCCAGGTATTGGATGGTTTTGTTGACTCTATTCATGTGAAACTAAACAGACAAGAACAAGTCAATCAACAATTTTTGTTGGATGTGTGTCATTAAAAACATCCATGTGAAAGTTTTCTGAATACAATACATTTTTGCTATTTTTGTTCGAAACATGCAGCAAAATAGTTTCAAAAAGTTACACATATGACGTTTCCTTCAATTTCTAAGTTGGGTGCAGTTAGAATATTTTCATGCCTATTGACAACGAACGATCGATTCCTTGATTAACTATCCTTGACGAAAGATAGAGAAAAGCATCTCGTTTTCTTTTCATTTGAGTACAAGTCGTCTGATGAAATTGTTGGAAATGTTTTATACAAAAAAATCGCTACTTATGAAAATCTGCACATATCAGATGAAACCTGATTACACATCTCTGCTCTTCAAAAGAAGTTCAACCTTCAATCTTCACAAACTGCAGAACATCTTTTCGTAACATCGACTAAGGTGTGCATGTGGGTATGAGTCAAAATTGTAACCAGTCAACAAATACTAAGCCGGTTCTGTCCGATCGTTCTAAAAATATTTCCAGGATAGTAAAAACTCACGAGTTCACTAAACTTCTTCAAGTGACAAAACGGATATTAGATAAAAAATTTCTTTCTAAATACTTATAGACTTGTATGCTTATCATTTCTGAAATGCTCATATTACAAAGAGTCTTATTTTTGATTCGCTTATAAGGCTCCTGATAAAAAAAATGGGGTCTACCCAAGGTTAGAGCTGGTGAAGTATTTTTGAACTGGTTCTATCCCATCGGTCTAAGTTTTAGACGAACTCGATTCAACGGCTTCAAAAATCTCTTAGACAAGTAAAAGTCGGTAACATTCATTCTTCTTTTTTTCACTCAAGTTTTTACAAGTTTCCAGAAGAAATCTCAAGTTCGAGTCATGAAAATCTATTTAGTTTTTCAAAGATGAATATGCGAGATATCTATGTATATAGCGCAAGAATAGAGTCATTTACCCATCAACTTATTGCCACACTTCAAAGTAGGAACTCTCTCACTCAACTTTTACAGGCAAGCCTAACTTAAAGTTACTCTTCAACAAAATATCTATGAGATAAGTTTAACACAAGCAACACAGCTTTGATTGTACTTTTGAAGAGACGAAGTACATTTCGATTAAAGAAATGAAGCAGTGCTCTTTAAGAAAAAAAGGTGTCGTCCAGAACCATTAAGAGTTCTAGATTTGGGTACAAGCTTAGGAACCTTTTTAGGTTCTGGCTTAAACTGGTTCGGTTTGGAATTTTGTCCTTCATCTTCGTAAAATGGTTCCATCATGTTGAAACATAGTCCATTCGACTCATTTAGTCTACCACTGTTCATTAATTTTATGTCTTAATCCTTAACCTTATCCTTAAGCTCTTAAATCTATATTTAACTCCTTAACTCTATTCTTAAGCACTAAATTTTATAGGTTGCATAGATATCTAGATTTGCTGTGAATAGAGTAAAAGTCAGCACTCCTTCCTCTATATATATGAAAAGCCTCTCGTCATTGTTAGATGTTGAGATGATGATCCTAAATGAAAAGCATTACTTTATATCATATGATTGAACTTACTAATGAATGGATCATTCACATAGACCTGAATAGATAAGAAACAGTAATTTCTTTTATAACACTCAACTTACCATTGAATTGGTTATTGTTATACACCTACATTAAGAAAAATAATTCATTTTATAAGTTAGAATTTATTATTGGGTTGATTATTGAGATATACATAAAAATAAAGAAATATTTTATTTTATTAGAACAAATTTGCATTTGAATTGACGGTTCAGAGGTATGTAAACATATGAATTAGTAAATTATTCTTTAAGATGGAAATTACTTTCAAGTGATAATTGGGATGTATCTATATATATGGATGAAAACATAACTTATTTTATAAGTCACAATTTATGATTCAATTGATTATTGAGACATATGTAAACACATAAAAAAATTGTTTTAATTTATGGAATCAAAATTATATTTTAATTCATGATTTATATCAACCTAAAGTAACAAAAGTTCATTTATTTAAAAAGATAAAACTTAGCATAGAATCGATTCAGACTCAACATAGGTGAAGCTAGCAGCCGATTCGAGTATTTCCATCTGCGACTCTCTTAGGAACCTGTTCCAAGCGTTCCAATGCTTGTTTCAAGTAGAACTCGACGAGCTCTATCTAATTATATGTTCAGACTTTTGATAGATCATAGTATGATTTTTGGGCTGATACACGGCGCTAGTGAGAATCGGAAAATCATACTATGGTCTACCAAAAATCTGAACATATGATTTGGTTAGAGCTCATCGAATTTTACTTAGAGCAAGCATTGAGATGCTTGGAACACGTCCCTGGACGAATCGCTGGTGGAATTACTCAAATCGGCTGCCAGAATTTCAATAGAAGAATTCAATATTTTGAGATTTTTGAAATCATAGTTTGCGCTATGAAAAATCTGATTACACCATTGGATAGAGCTCGTCAAGTTGTACTTGGAACAAGCATTGGAAAGCTTGGTTACAGGTTCCTGGGGGAACTGCTGATGGAAATACTCGCATCGGCTGCTAACTTCACCTACGTTCAGACTCAGATACTTTTCATTTGAAACTGTATCCTAAGATTGTTTCACATTATTAGTTAACGATATACACACATTTATTTCTCAATAGTTCGTGTTGAATCAACAAATAGAATTTGTCCTATTTGTTTTCCATTCTTCGTTTTTGTCGGTAACGTAAGATAATTAAAAGGGGTTTGCAGTAGACACTTGCATTACGATGAACAGCACATAAGTCTATCATAATATGAATATCACTCTCTCGTGAAAGTACTGAATATGAATCAAATTTTCAGAAAAAATTCAATGAATTGAAGTTTCTCATATACAGTAAGACTTGATAAGAATAGCAAAAAGGGTAAGCAAAGACAACTTGTTGATAAGAATATTCTCCTATTTCACATAGAAAAAAAAGCATCCTATTGACTTCCCCTAGTTACTGAACGCTATGACATTTCTTTTTGTTTTGGTAATATTGTAAGTCTAAGTTTTTCAGCTTCAGTTGATGTCGTTGATACTTCACTATTGATTATTTTTTTCAATACTGTATTTTCAGTATGTGAATACTCAATAATTCTGTCAGTCAAATTTTATGAATAGCCGTTATTTTCATAAAATAACTTTTTCCTTACTAAAAGATTTGCAATAAAATGGTGAATAGAAAAAATCTACTGTTTATATAAGTGTCTAGGTAGCTTTTGACGCTGTTATTACCGAATTAATTGCCATCTGACACCGGTTTTTTTATTATTATCATTGCATTAGTAAGGTTATTCGAGATTTATTTTAATTAAGTCTCGTTCAAAAAATGACTCTCTTCGGTTCAAATGGTTTACGATAAAATCATCTTCGTGAAAGAAATTCAGTATTTAAAAAAAGCATGAGAAACAGCTCTCTTTTACGCATATGAGACCATTTTTTATTCGGCATGGTTTTGTAGATTATCTAGAACCTTTGATAGTTCAGTAATGGGGTGAACGAAACTTTAAAAGGTTCGGCATCTTCTCCACAATCATAAATGGTTCCTTATGACACCTTTTTTTCAGAGAGTATGAAATTACTCGTTGACTCTACAATAACTCGTGATGTTTTCTCCAAGCAGTGTATTCAAGAAGTCAGCTTCTTGCTTGGAAATTTCATTTTTCTGCCAGGAAAATCATTTTTCATGTCCTATTGCGGTCGTCAACTTTTCTATTGAAACTGCCGGAATAGTGACGAAAAGAGAACTTTTGATCAAATTGAGTTTTGCACTTGTTTTCGCCCAGTTTTCATTTTTACATACTTTCAGACAGCTCTCTGTCGATCACATCTAAAGAGACTGTATCATGTTTCACTTTGTAATATTGTAAGGATTAAGATGAAAGCTTTTCTTTGTATGAAACACCCATAAATATTGAAGAGTAAAAAATCATTCCTATTTGTTTTTCAAAAAGATCAGCTTTCAAAGCTAATGCATCAATCAATTTTGTGCTTTTAGCGTGCTTGTAATATCAAAGAATAGGCAATATATATAAATACACCTATTCACTAGTCTGAATTGCACACAGGTGTATCATCACATTATACTATAATCACTATCGATTTCAATAATCAAACGTGAGTAAATAGTTGAACACTATGTAGTTACACTATAGTAATTTCATTTTGGTTTCGAAATGCATCGATTTAGGCTGATCTTTCTTATTCATACAGTAATTGAATTTTTAAAATGGATAGGAGCGATGTTTGTTGTTTTCCTATCAGGGTCTTAGTTTTCATAATGTAATGTTTGTGATGATCCTTTTTATTTATTGTACTTCTGTATTTTTCTCCAACTTAACACTGTTTTCATTCATCTATGTCTAATATAATAACCATGCTCGGTTGATCAGTGATCAATTGTTCAATGGTATCGATGGGGTGAATGTGGATATGGTTACAACGAATAAGTACGCCCACGATTGACGCAAAAAATTGAGCAATATATTTAAGTACCACGCAATATATCGCCAAAAAATTGGCGACTAATCGTGATATTTGGCGCATGAAAATACAGGAGGGTCGCCAGCTCAAGGACACAATGACTAATGAAGCATAGATAATATTAACAAAATCGAGAGAAAGAAGTGCCTGACAACACAGTAACCATTTTTTTCTGTATACAAAGGCTTGTTAGAATATTGGGTGAGCTAGATAAAATGGCAGTGTCAATATTTTGACTATAACTTGTTTCCACTACATTTCTTAGAATCGCCGTTCCATTCTCTATCTCCTCTTGCATAATTGATTCTTTAAGAGTTGTTTTTAATTAAGTTTTGGTTTTGTCTATTGTTTTTCAAGTTTCTTTTCCATCTCGCATCAATCCTTGCCGAACAATGTGACTTTCGTTAAAACATGTTTCCAATTCATAGTTGTCACGCACATTTTGCAGCGGGTAATACTTGT